GTGCTGAACCTGCTGACGTGTCAGCCACTGTGCGCTGATGGATATTTACTGCCTTTATTATATTAAAAACATAAATAAGGTGCGCAGGTTTTGAACCGGCGACCTCCCACTCAAAATGTAGGAAACTTACCACTGAGCTAAACTATTTCTTGCTTTTATAACCTCAACATATAATATATATTACGAATACCTAAACATTTAAATATGATTTTAACGATTATTATTATTGTTATTATTTATTATTATTATTATGAGTGTATTTAAAGTGTTATAACATAATTTTTAATATATAATACCTTTCGAAATGTATTTATGTTTTAAAAATGCGAAAATATGCATTTGTATTAATAATTACAAAACAATTTGTATTTATATTGAAAATACAAAAAAAAAATCCATGTTCAAACCAAATATGTATTTTTTTTATGTTTTTGGAAGCTTAAAAGATATGTATCTATATATGTTATACTTTTAAAATCGTGAAAGATACAGTTATATATTTAAAAAAAACGTTTTTAAATGTATAAATAAACCAAATACGCTTTAAAAAATATATATATACCATTAAATATATTTTTTAATCTTTAAAACGTATTTTATACCTTTATAAATATATATTTATACCTTTAAACGGTAATTAAAAATATATGTATAAACTTATAAAAAAGAAAATAATAATAGTAATAATTGTTTTTAATTTTTTTCATTAGTTTACATTATAATTATATATTATGTTTTCAGGTTATGAAACAAGAAATGTTGTTCAGCCTAGTGGTAAGAGCCTTGTTATGTGGTTTAGAGGTTGTGGGTTCGATCCCACCTACTTTATTGACCCACATGTATTAGAATTTTTGTATTAAATGAATAAAGCCAGTCAGCGCATATGTGGCTGACACATCAGCAGTTTCAGCACACTCAGCGCACACGTGGCTTGCCACATAAGCAGGTGACCGACTTAACCTGTAAAAAGGGTAAAATCGAAAAAAAACTTGTAAGTTTGCGGTATAAACGAACCTAAATTCTGACAAAGGGTAAAGCTGCAAATTCCTGAAAAACATGAGGTTTTTTATGACATTATCCTGAGGAATATATATATATATGATTGATATATCAAATAGAAATAGTTAATATTTAATTAAGAATTAATTAGAACTAATTGGAAATTAATTTTAGATTAATTAGAATAGTTGATTGTACACATGTTAAATTATAATTGTTCAAAAGTTTAGTAAGAGATCATTTCTAGAACCTCCATACCTTGAACGTTTTTGACAAGGAACGATAAAAGGTTCTTGAAACCTTTTGTAGTTGATAAGAAAATATATTTAAATTAAATTAAAATTCTATTATTTTAATATTTAAATCATGGTTTCTAACAGCTATAAAGATGAATCATATTCCTAGTAGAAATCGATCTCTACATACATAGGGAAATTTGTTTTCCTTTATTCCTCTCCTATATTTTAATCTTAAGATTTCTAGGATTTTAAGTGTAAACCATTAGAGACATTCATATTATTTAACTGTGAAGAAAAAATATCAATCATTAAGACACATCCACATATATATATATATATATATATATATATATATATATATATATATATATATATATATATATATATGATTGATATATCAAATAGAAATAGTTAATATTTAATTAAGAATTAATTAGAACTAATTGGAAATTAATTTTAGATTAATTAGAATAGTTAATTGTACACATGTTAAATTATAATTGTTCAAAAGTTTAGTAAGAGATCATTTCTAGAACCTCCATACTTTGAACGCTTTTGACAAGGAATGATAAAAGGTTCTTGAAACCTTTTGTAGTTGATAAGAAAATATATTTAAATTAAATTAAAATTCTATTATTTTAATATTTAAATCATGGTTTCTAACAGCTATAAAGATGAACCATATTCCTATTTAAATCATGGTTTCTACATACATAGGGAAATTTGTTTTCCTTTATTCCCCTCTCCTATATTTTAATCTTAAGATTTCTAGGATTTTAAGTGTAAACCATTAGAGACATTCATATTATTTAACTGTGAAGAAAAAATATCAATCCTTAAGACAGATCCATATTATTTAACTTATTTAACTGTGAAGAAAAAAAAAATCAATTTTAACGAGAAACCGGTTATTGGATCAAAATGCTAAGCGAGTTTAAATCCGGTCACCAGATTAAATCCGATCCGGTTCGGTCCTGTTTGGTTGTGCATCTCTAAGTCCATGGTACACATACACCAGTTCTGAATGGCACTCGAATAGGATACGTATGCTCGTTTGATTATTTCGCTCAACAGTCTAATCAGCTTCATCTTTCATTGTTGGTCGATTAAGGTTCCTTTTCTTCCCCTGTATACTGTTTCTTCATCTATTTGGTTGTTCTCTGTAAAATTAGGGTTCTACGAGTTGAATTGTGATAAACCTGATGACGGGTTTTACTTACGTTCTACACTTCTACATTTCTGTTATTTTAGGCAGGAGCGCTTTACTTCTTTGAGAAAATATTCAATCTGATTTAGACTCCGCCGTCCGTCGTCTGCCCTGCTGATCGGCACCTCCGCCTCGTCAGCCTACTGTTCCCTCACTCCAGGTAAATCATTGCGGCCGATTCAGTTTGCAAGTTTTTTTTTTTTTTTTTTTTTTTTTTTTTTTATTTTTTTTTTTTATTCTTTTGCTAAATCCTTCTGCTTCTTCCGGATCCCATTTGAGGCAAGATCTCATCTCCCTCTCTGTTTTTATATATGCTTCCAATCAGTTGAATTTTTTAATGCTTTGCTAGCTGATTATGGAGCTTGGAGGATTTAATTCAAAGGATATATGTACTCTAAGTCCAAACACGATTAAATTATTAGGTTTCTGCGGTAGATTAGGTTCCTCTCCACACCCTCTCTAAGATCTTCACATAGGTATCTGGAAATTTTAATCTGTTTGATGGATTACTGGATTAAGAGGAGGTTCTGAATCGGTCTGATTAGGAGCCTTTGGTTCACCATTTTTTCGCACCTCTTAATCGAGTGAGGATCATCTGGTCAGATACGAGGGTAAGTCTGAACGACTCTGAATCAAAATTTTGGTAACATTGCCCTTTTACCCAAATACTCTTCCATCGCATTCTCTCATCACAACCATTACAAGCTCCCGTTTTTTTCTTCTTCTTACGCTTCTCCAGTCTACTACCGTCGCTGCCTTCAACCTTGACGCCTCCCACCGCCATCCTCCTCCTTCCCTCGCCGATCTCCTCCCATCAACAACCACAAGCGCCGGCGATCTTGAACCTCGACGCCTCCACCATCATCTTCCTTTCTCTTTAGAGTTGAACACCACCACGATAGATAGCTTTCTTTTACAGGATCTGCTCTTGTTTCTTTCTCAAAGAACAACCGTTATACCAAATCCCACTTTACTTCTTCCTAGAAATTAGGGTTTATTTTCCACGTTATAAAGGTACTTAATTTATCTTTTTCGTCATATTTGATCTAGGTGTTTTTTTTTTTTTTTTTTTTTTTTTTTTTTTAATATTTAAATCACTGTGTGTATGTGTCGATTATCTGAAAGTTTGATGTTGTATCTATAGTTGTTTCATCATTTGTGGTATTATGCTACTGAGAATATAATTCGAGTTGCTAAACATCCTATATGAACTTATCAATTTTGATGGTAGGTTATTAGAAAATAAAAATTAATTGAAACTTATATATTTCAAGTATAAAATAGTTTCAGAAAAAAATGAAAAGGAAGTTAAGTTTATAGAAGTAACGGTCAAAATAGGTTAGAAGGGTAAGATGGTCATTTTTAATAATACAAACATAGTTATTCAGATGTCTAAACAATCAACATGTTTTCATTCAGAGACAGATTAACTCAGAGCCTGTATATGGTTTTAGTGTTGTTGTTGGTTGTTTATGATAATATGAAATTAAATTTATGAAATGTTTTATTTTGTGCAGTTTTCAGAATATTTGATTGGAAGACACAAAATGCACCCTCCTTTGACGTTACATAGGCACCCAATGTGTGCTGAAGTAAGTTTTCTATTCTTCTATGTTAAACAATCGTATAATCATAACAATGCTTTTACACATTAGATCTGAATTTAAAATCCATAGCTCTTACTCAAAGTTAAAGACAATTGAGTGATTTATGAATTAGTGATGTTTCTTTTGTTTCCCCATTAAGTCGTGTATAGGTAATGAGGTTTATCTGGATAAAGTCATGTTTCTTTTGCTCATATTTATTGTTCATACATTTATTGATTATGTTAAATGGCATTGGTCTTGTGTTTTGTTTTGTGTAGATAATTGAACAGTTTCAGAAGTGCCACCTGGACCACCCTTATGCAAAATTCTTTGGTGAGTGCACAGATCTCAAGATAAAGCTCGACAAGTGTTTCAGGCAGGAAGTAAGCTTTCTTTAATAACTTTCTTTTTACTTATTTTAATACTTGAAATCAACAACCTTACAAACATGGGAAAATCAGTTAAACAGACTCTTTAACATTTTAAAATGAGGACATGTCGGAATCTGGTGTAAGCTGTGTATTTGTTTCTCATTTCTTTTGTTTTCACGGTGATAGAAAGCTGTGAAGAGGAAGGCAAATTTTGAAGAGAGTAAGAAACTGAAAGAGAGGCTACAAGCTTATAGGAAAGAAGCTTCTGGAACTGAGAACATCATGTAATAAAATAAAACCCTAGACATCTTTTTCAAAAGTGGAGCATGGAATGATTCAAATACAATTCATTAAATAACAAATTTGATTTTCATACATTTTTTAGATGTTGCAAATCATCATATAACTAGAAATTGTAGCTTGTTTCTATGGATTTTGTGAGAATGTATCAACAGCATAACGAATAATGTTTCTTTTCTAAATCAAATTAAATAAACCAACCGTTTTAAGAAGACTAAATGACCATTTTATTCTTAGTGTAAAAAAGAAATAGCACCTAAGCTAGTGATGCATATGCTATAATGGAAAGAACTCAAAGAACAAAAGGCTATACTTAAAGCACACTCAATTAACATAAACACCATTAGTTTAAACATATTAAAAAACCAGTCAAACCCTTATAAACAAACACCCATCACCCATGTCCCAAAACCTCTGGTCCTTTATGAGGCCTTCAATAGTAAAACCACTAATAGACTTACTTATAAACTGCACATAGGAATTCGACTACTAAAATACCCAAATTACAAGTTTCAAAAGAATCCTTGAAACATTATTTTCCATCAAAAGCAAGATGAAGCACATCGGTCAACGGTTTTGCCTGTTCTTCAGTTTGACTTGAGTTGTAAATCTTTGACTCCAATGCAACTCGGGTTTGACTCCAGTTTTTAAGCACCGACAACGAAACGGGCCCCACCTTATCGCCACGCGGGCTCATAACATACCATTGAGAGCTTTTAATGTCTTCGAGATCCTCCTTGCGTATATCAACGGTTGACTTTTCATCACTTGAGTCAAACAATTGAGTAGGTTTTTTGACAAAAGATGGTTTTTTTGGCTTGTTTTCGAAAAACTTTTGGAGTTTTATTGCCATTGCGTATTTTTCAGATGCTGGCATTTCCTGTTTACTATCTTCTGCAAAATTTAAATTGCAAATCAATTTTTTGAAAACAAAAAAGAAAAGATTATTCCAGGTTAATATTACTATTTGGGACAAAAATTGAAAAAACAACTATAGTGAAGGGACCAAAAATGTAAATTACCCGAGAAGAAAATATTTATCATACCTGAAGTAACCCCAATGTCTTTAAATTTTCCAGATGATGAATGTATTAGAATAGATTTTGGTGAGTCTTTGTTATCTTTCTTATCATCTTCAAGAGGCTCAGCTTCTTCAATATCTGGAATCACAGTGGGGATTTTTTCAAGTAATTTTGTCTGATTTTCTGGAGTTTGTAGGAATTGCCTTCTTTCCAAATACTCATGTAGCGTAAAATACTCACATAGGTTAAGGACCAAATAGTCTAGAATAGTCACATAGGGTTAAATAACAATCTACTTTCATTGATATGTTTATTATAATTTATAACATTACACTTTCATTTTCAATTATAGCATTGTCATCAAAATGCAAATATTTTTGAAAGTATAATTTCCTAACAAGATTAAAAAATTGAAAGTAAGAGGTTATAAAAATATAGATATAAATGGAAACACGTTGCTATTTCTTGCATTTAGCCCTTAAATATATCATTCAAATGGGAACATATACACAAATTAATTATTGACTACTAAAAAAGGATATTCTTTTCTCCATCCTTTTTCATTTGCTTGATCAATACGGTGTTTCAATAAAGCCAGCTCTCGGGGAATCCACTATGATAATAGCAAGCATCATTAGATGTTGAAATTATGCATTAATAAACTAAAAACAATAAGGAGAATCCATGTTTGAATCGTTGTATTGCCTATTTAAGCACCATTTATTAAACAAGAAATAATATATGGTGCATTATATTTATATTATCAAGTAGTTATGTAGCGAATTGTAAAATAAAAATGCGTGTTTAAAGACTTACATGTGTTACAATGTCCTTGTGAAGACTCCTAGCCTTCTCTTCAACTTCAACCTGTCATACAAGTAAATTTGGTTAATTTTTATCTCCTTAAAGTAGGTCTCAATAATATTTAGCTCATATGAAAGTATTTAATTATATATCTCCTTACTTCTTTTAGCTATTTTATTGGCAATAGTAAATTAGAAGCGCATTTAGTACCCTCTTGTACTTCGTATACTTATTTATCATTACATTTAAAAGATTTTTTTTTCAATCATGAGTAAATGACCTACGAAAGATTAACAATAGGTGATGAAATAAATAAGATAAGCAATAAAACAACACTCGATTGAGTTAATTCATAAGCTTACCACTTCAAGCTTTTTCAGTAAGCCGGATTTCACTTTGTTTTTCAGATCTTGACATTCCTCCTGAAATTAGTAAAGTCCAAAACCGTTGAATTTTAGTTGGATTTAAATTTATATTTGTTAGTTGATTATAAATGGCTTTCAGAAATAACATGTTAAAATGATCATGTACATAGATAAATTATCTACTCCCTTACCTCAGTGAACTCATCATCTGACAGCAAATTAATGCATATATCCGTTTCTAAAGATTGCAGCATAAAATTCTGCTCACTTTCACCAACCAAACATTTTTTTACGCCTGCATATACATTAAAGCAAACATAAATCTTGTAAATAAATACGCAAGTAAAAATCAATAAAATAAACTCACAACACAATATGTTGCATGTGTCATCAGGCGCAATGTGCATGTTATATACATTACATATCAGGCACCCAATGCATACAACTATACAAGTATGGATGCACCAGGTGCTTAATACATACACATATGTATGCATCAAGTGCCTTAATACATCACATATGTATGCACCAGGCGCCTGATCTACCGGTTGATATATCTATCAACCGGTAGATATAAGGTGTGATAAGTATTTATCACACCTGAATCTTGATTACATACTAGAAGTATGTGTTAGGCGCCTGATGGACACACATACAAATATGCATGACCGCATACATATGTTTCAGGTGCCTGGCCGCATACAGTCATACAAATGGCGCCTGATGGACACACATACAAATATGCATGACCGCATACATATGCATAGGGAGCATGATACATACAAATATGTGATATCATGTATTTAAAAGGACAAACCTACCAGTTACTTGCATAAGGCGATAAGCATTCCTTAGAAAGAAACCATTTGCATCTTCTTTAACTCTCACAAAACTTCCTATTACCTTACTTTCAAAGCTCTCAGGTTCTTTTTCAAGTTTCTGCACTAAACTTCTTCTCAAATACACAAGCCTAATGTTTTCAGGAACAATCGATGCAAAACGAAAACACGTAATATCAACCACCGGCTCTTCCTTCTCTATTAACTTATCTCCATTGTTCTTTTTCTTCCTTTTACATGCCACCACTTCCTCTTCCTTACAATCCATATCATCATCATCAAACCCTAATTCATCATCATCATCATCGTCTGATGACACTTGATTTTCCGCCAAATGGGTTTCCAAAGAATCATAAATTCGGTTGAGTTTGATCGTTTTCCTCTTGAAAATAGAACGTAACCATACATCACATTCAATTATCTTGTTTTTCTGAATAAGATCTTTCTCCTTACCATATCCCTTTACAATCTTTTCAAGCTCCCTTTGTGATAACGCATTCGTTGTATCTTTCCCTATGTTTTCAAGAAATTGGATTAAACGTGTTGATCCCCATCCCATGAATTCTTCCTTGTTTGGTTTCATTTTCTCTTTCTCTTTCGCTTTTGACTTCCCTTTTGTTTTGGATGATGATTCGGGCTTTGATCTTTTTGTTTTTTTGGCTGATTCATGTAAATCCATGTCATCTCCTTTTTCTTCATAATCCGAACATTGGTTGTCATCACTATGATCATCATACTTATCTGAATCATAATTCTTTCCGGATTTTAACTGCCCTTTTGCAGCTATTAGAACATCAAGTGTTAACTTTGCGGTATTATTAATAATCTCCCAATATTCCTTATACAAAGTCTCATAAGTGTTACGATTATTGAAGTCGATAGTTTCCTGAAAAACACACCAAAAACATCGATTTAAAGATAGAATTTAGAAAGGTTTTTAAAAAATTTGTATGAAAAGGTTTAAACTTGTGATCATATTCATACACCATCAGAGTCAACATCCTTCTTTTCTTCTACAAGTAGTGCAAGCTTCAAGCAATGATTGCAGAATCCTTTCTTCCCTTTCACATGAACAAAATCAGCAGATTTGATACAACGTCTGCATACACCTTTTGGACAACAATAACAATGGACTAGATCGGACGTTCTATCACAAATATCACATTTATGCAGATCTGAAAATAGAATCCGAACATATATTTTAGCATGATATGATTATTTTATAAATCTATGCTTAATTGAAGTTAATGCGAGTGGCTTACCACATATAAATCGACGTTTGGAATTTGCAGATGATTGTGCGCATTCGGGATGATATGACTTCAAACAATCCCTGAAACAAGTTAAAGTAACTTCCTTTATTAAATTTCATTCAGAAAAGAGGTGACTAAATCCCTAAAATTATATTATGATGGAGAAATTGATGACCGATCAACATCGTCTAGAAAAATTGATTTTGGGACTTCATGCATTCAACTGTTTATCAAACCTAAAAGACCGATATACCCTTGAGTTTAGAAAATATACATCCAAACAAGGGTCAACCTCTTGTAAACGAAAACCTGTCAAATCATTTAACTTTCTGGGACCAAATGTGTGAAAAACCCACTTAAAAAAGTATTCGGAAACTCACTTGTGGTCACAAATAATTAAATCGCCACCATCTTTGCAGACGAAGCACCATTCTTCAGAATAATCTTCCTTTTTGTAAGCTTTATTCGCTTTCGTTTTCATGTCTGCAACGCAATGTGTGTTCTGATATCTTTTTCGAAGAAACCCTGCTCTAGTGCTCTGTAAAACCCTTTTCTTTATCCCTAAAATCGCAACTCGAATGCAATCACTTGTGAAAGACGATTAGCATAACAAACGTTTTGGAGAAAATGCACGTGAATCCAGCTGAAAATCGAGTGATTAGGGGTTATTCGGTGATGATCAAACAAAATACTAGTCAAAGTAACGGATGATCATAGCTCAAAAGTTTTGCCGAAAAGCGAGAGAGAGAGAGAGAGAGAGGGTTTTGGTGAGTGGGTTTTAGGAAAGATATTTATATGGTTTTAATTCGTGTGATTTATTGACAAAATTACGCGAAATTTCAAGGCTTGAGGGAATATTTTTTTGTTTTCCAATAATTGACATTAACTATTATATAATTTAATTAATTTATAAGAATTTTGAATCGAACTTTTGTTGGTAAAAAAAAAAAAAAAAAACTTATAATCTGAAATCAATGTTAATGATATTCTATATATACTTTTAATAAAATAGATATACTGAAATTTGGTCAACCAGGATTTTTGTATATTTATAAATAAATTGAATTTGTTTGCAAGAGAAAAAAGTATAGTTTTAACAGGACTTATTTTTTACTTTAGGGCATCTACTTTATATAGTAAAATACAATAAATGTGGGGTTGTTGGGACAGTGGTATAGGGATTGGGTGATAACATAGAAAATGATGCCCTTTTTTTTTTCCCCAAACTTGTCTTGAAAGTGTAATTTTCTTTCACGTTTTCATAATTTGATTATTATATTGTCATAACTATTGAAAGTATAATTTATTTAAGATTTCTTTGTTTGATTTTTTTTTTTTAAGAAAATAGATTAAGTATAAAGTGGCAAAGAAACACTTAGCAAAGAGCTAAGGATAGTAAACAAAGAGAGAAGTAACGGATGAGTAAATACAAACTAAATTTTAAAGAAAAAAATTATAAACATAGACATTTTCCTTAATTATTTTGTAGAAAATAGAAAAAAAAAATCAAATATTACAAAAATAATCATCAAAAGCACAGATGGATCTACGATTTTCCCATTTGATCTGTAAATGTACAAGTCGATAAAACACGGACAATTATTATAAGTTGTACGTTTGTAGATGGTTTTTTTTTTTTTTTTTTTTTTTTTTAATTTTTTTTCCAATATAAATACTCTCTCAACCGGCTAAAATCACAAATCAATTTAGTCCATCTACGATTTTAGGGTTTTTTGTTTTTTTTTTTTAACGAAAATACAAATGTTTAAAGCACATATACGCAATAGTTCAAAATGGGTAATTTTTTGTTTATGTTTTTATTTGTGCTTTAAACATTTGTACTTTTGTTAAAAAAAATCCTAAAATTGCAGATGCACTTCAGAGGAAATCGCAGATGGACTAAGTTAATCTGCGATTTTAATCATTTTAGTTAGGTGTGAGGGTATTTATAGGGAAAAAATAAAATAAAAAACTAAAAAAGAAACTATCTGCGAACGTACAACTCATAAGGCATGCTCGTGCTTTGACGACTTGTACATTTGCATATCAAATGGGAAAATTTTAGATGGGCTTAATCTATCTGCGATTTTGATGATTATTTTTTGTAATGTTGGTTTTTTTTTTTTGCTATTTTCTACAAAGTAGTTAAGAAAATTGACTATTTTTGTAATTTTGTCATTTTAAATATTAGAAAACCGAGATATGAGCATAGCTCCCATCCGTCTAGGAACTGCAACCCCCTAACACTTATGTGTTTGCACCATAAGTATGAGAGGGTAATTACTTTGTGGGGAACTTTTGCAGTCGAGTTCTTTATGTTCTTGAAGATTGCCTCATTACAAGCTAGTCATATGTTCCAAAGGAAGCAGAAGAAGATAGAGTTGAGTTTTTGCGTTTTCCTTGGGCAATTCCCCCATGAAGCAGTATGGTCTGAGAATTCTGTCACGTTATTAAATTGCATGTCCCTTAATCGATCCATTTGAAAATCGATTCTTGGGCTACTTTGGTGAATTCACAGTTTACGAGTAGGTGGTTGACTATTTCTTGATTATTTCCGCATAATGACATATTGAATTGTTAATATGAATCCTAGCCTTTAGAATGGCAACCACCAAAATTCTTCCCATTGAGGCATGTCATACCCAGCAACAAACATTGAGAGGTACCATTTTTTACTAATATATTCCTTTGTACCTATAATGAATTAATTTTGAGTTTATTAAGCCCTGGAGTTGCTTAATAAAGAAGCTACCATCAAAGTTCAAATTAAAAAGGAATCTTGATTTTGATTTGGGGATATTCTCCAAGTTCCCAATACTTGTGTATAGTTGTAGCAGCTCGTGAAGAGATTTAACATCATATGGTTCTATTTTCCAATTCCAAGTGAAGCCATTAATTGAAATACATTCCTCAGCATGACACCGTTTGACAGTTTCTTTGGAATACAAGGAAGCAAAGTGTGATTGAAAGGTAAAGCTCCCACACCATACATGTAACACCCTGTTTCAAATTGTTTCATAATCGGGGCCATGACCTGAAGACCAGTTGACATAAGGCTTCGAGCCTTGGGGGAAAGAGAGATTTTGTGACAACTAGAAAGTTTTGGGTCAAACCAAGTCTAAGGGGGTCTTGTGTATAAGGGTATCTACAATGTATATTATGTAACTTGATGCAATAATGTTAATTGAAAGCCAAGAGGGCACCATTTGTATAATTAAAGATAATATACACTTGGAAATTCATATTGAATTAAGCCTTGAAAAGTTCATGTAAATCAAACAAGAATCAAATAGTTGTAGCATAACAACATGTATTTATGTAAGGACCTTGAATTATTGAGTTTTAAGGCCATCATCTTCGTGATCTATATCACTCAAAACTGAAATCACAATGTCTAGGAAACATTAAAAACCAGAAACACACCTTAAGGACCCACTAAGGCCGAAAACACACCCTAGGGGTCCACTAAGGCCGAAATCACCATGGAAAGGAACCTAGGACCAAAATCTAAAAGAAAAGTTAAGCCTAGGACCGAAACCACATGTGATTTCGGTCATATTATGGTGAATTGGAAGGGTTTGTGGCCTAGGATGAGGATAAGACAAGAAAAGTTGATTTTAGGATTTGATTTCTCAACCATTTCCAATAAGAATCACAGTAACCCACGTATTACCCACCAAACACCTATACTTTAACCTCCAGTTATCCAAGTAAACTTCACATCAATATTACACCTTTTATTTAAAAGAGATTAATATCACAAAACCTCACCATTTCTTCATTTCCACTTCCTGTTACATTCATCCTGCCCTCAATAAAACCATTTCCCAAGTTTCAAATGATTTAAACCTAAGTTCATCCTTAGATTTCTCTGGTAAGTATTTTCATGATACCCTAGTGTTTATATATGATTTTATGTTAGTATATATTTTTACACACATTTTTGTGTGTTGATATTCTTAGGATAATAACTTTTCCTAGAAGTTCATCCACTTCATTCAAGTGCCAAGCTCGAAATCCTCATTTCAATCCTTCAAACCCACCCACCAAAACCACTCAATGTGAGCTTCATACCCCTATTTTTTTAGTTTTACATGCTTATAGGGGGAATACAAGTCAAAACATATTTGTCTTATGGATATTTGCATGCTTCAACTTATTATTTGAATGTGAAATAATATTTGCATAAGATGTAGTTAACATCATTTTGTTTACACAAAAATCGTGTTTTAAGGGTTGATGTTCGAAGATAACAAAAATATATCTTATTTTGTGATAACAAATATCAACAGGAAAAATATGAGTAGTACAAACTACAAGATTTTTGTGATTTTTACTAAAAATGGTTCTTCTAGTAAAAATGGTTGTATTCTAGCCACTACCGTTTATGGTGGGTTAAAACCCAAGTATTTTAAGTTTTGGTAACATATATCAAATTTAGACAAGATTACAACTTGATATTTATATAAAGTTTTATAAATAGTCTACACAAAAACATACAAGGCAAACTATGATTGGTATAGTTTGGAATTCACAAAACCATACTTTTATAACATTTCAATGGTATAACTACTTCATTATAAAAAAAGGGCGTCGTAGTTCACGTAAATTTGTTAATGCTATAGTGAGACATATTCTTCACCGTACCTACCTAGCGTACATTTTAAGTCCTGCATTATAACTAAAGTCTTCTGGAGGGAGAGCGGGATAGTTGTGTATAGATCTATACAGGATTGACAACCCCATACCTGAGTTGTTCGGTACAGCTAGACGGGTCAGTCTGGGGTGATAAATATCTACCAATTCCGATGCCTGAAGAACATCGTACATGCATAACAGTCACATCAAGCATGGCTATAATAACTCACTTAGGGATTAACAATACTATATTGGTTTACGGGAAGCTCACACTTCACCTGTTTTATAAAAATAAAACTACATACTACTTTTCAATACACTATTGCTACACTTCTAGTCGTAGGGTTTAAGACTACATTTTTCCTACATCATAAAATATTGGGTTTTCTAGGAACATACATTTTCATACTTACAAGAGGAAGATACAAAGGTTATACATACATTATAGTCTTGGTTATAAGACTTACAACTCATTTTATAGAAAATATCGAATTTTATGGAAGCATACAAAGCCATTTTAAACAAAGCAGTTACAAACCTTTTTCATACAAAAATTCTTATGAACTCACCAACATCCATTGTTGACGTTTTCAAAATCATTTGTATTCTCAGGGAACCAGTGAACAGGTATCCTAAACATGTTGAGTATAGGAATTGAGGAGTTGCTGCATCATGGAAGTTTTATTTCTCAGTCATACGTTGTGTAATTTTTGAACAAACCGAAAGACCCACACTTTCATATGATTGAGAGAACCCCTCTCTAAAATTTAACTACATCATATTACTCCAAAACATGCTACATGCATATTTATACACAATATTTTACATTGATAATTTAATTACAAAAGATTGGATACAGATCGACTATTAAGACTATTACAAAGTATTATATTTATTACATAACTACCCAGGATATTATAGTTTTATACATACATGACCACTAATTACAAAAGTAATAATATTATTTATTCAAAGTCTTCTAACAGTATATGTCTATACTTGATCCTTATTACTTGCAATGGATAAACACTGAGAGGGATAAATGGTGACGCTTACTGAGTTTAGTAATAGAAAGAATTTAACGTTATGCCATATATATACATTAATATGGCAGAAGCAAAGAGGAACAAGGAACAACAAAGGTATATGTGAATCAAGTGACAAACTTTCCATATCA